GGTAGCACGTGCCTATAGTTCCAGCTACTTGGAAGGCTGAGGCGGACAGAAACGAATAGATCACCGGAGCCCAGCAGGTCGACGCTGGGGTGGCCGTGAGCGTGCCACTGCACTCCAGCCTGGGCAATGGAGTAAGACTCCAATTAAAAAAAAAAAAAAAAGATACATCCAAGAACTAGTGCTGCATTAGGTTTCTGCTCTTCCACTTATTTTAACTCTTATTTATTAGAAACAAGAAGCATGTGGGTTAAGAGTAGGTTAAGAATGCAGGCAGGTTCTAGGGCCAGATTGCCTGAGTTTGAATTCTACCTACCAGCTGTGTGATCTTGGACAAATTGCTTATTTTTTCTGTGCCTCAGCTTTCTCATTCACTAAAGTGGAAATCACAGTACCTTTCTCATAGTAATATTATGAAAAATACATGTGATGGCATATATAAAATACTTAGTACAGTGACTAGCACATAGTAAATGTTCAATAAATGACAGCCTTTGTTCTTATTACATATGAAGATGAGTGTTCAGAACATATTTTATCTCAAAACTTATCATGGGACCAAAGGAAGCCATTTGGTAAAGCTTATCAAATTATGAGCCACAGTCTAAGAAGCCATATTCTTCCATATATTCTCTTTAGATACCTTTATAGTAAGAAAGTTACTAACTCAGTGTTGGAAAACTCTTGATACTTAGGTGGAGAAAGACCAATACAGATAGTATGGAAATGTGTTTGTTGAGCCTCTAGAGGCCAGAAAGAGGATCCAGGAAGATCTGTTATTTCCCTAAGGATCTTTCTCATTTAAAAAAAAATGGTGATGCTGGGCTCAGTGGCTCATGCCTATAATCCCAGCACTTTGGGAGGTGGAGGCAAGAGGATTGCCTGAGCCCAGGGGTTTGAGACCAGCCTGAACAACATGGCGAGACTTCAAATCTAAAATAAATTTAAAAATTAGCAAGGCATGGTGGCACGCATTTGTGGTTCCAATTACTTGGAAGGCTAAGGCAGAAGGATCAACTGAGCCCAGCAAGTCAAGGCTGCAGTGGCTGTAAGGGTGCTACTGCACTCCAGCCTAGGCATCAGAGTGAGACTCCAACTCAAAAAAAAAAAAAAAAAGGTGAACCAGCCTGGGCAACATAGCAAGACCTCATCTCTACAAAAAATAGAAAATAAAAATTATTCGGGCATGGTAGCACTTGTCTGTAGTCCTAGGTACTCAGAAAGCTGCACTCAGCCTGGGCGACAGAGTAAAACCTCAACTCAAAAAAAAAAAAAGGCCAAAGTGGGAGGATTACTTGAACCCAGAAGTTCAAGACCAGCCTGGGCAACATAGTGAGACTCTACCTAAACAATAACAAAGTAAAAAATAAATTAATTAAATTTAATTTAAAAGAAAGATGAAATACTTGTACCCCATCATTGCTGAGAGCACTGAGGTTGAAGACTAATTTCACTCCCACATGCTGCTCATGTTGCGCTCAGGTTGTTGTTGTTGTTGTTGTTGTTTGTTTATTGAGTCGGAGTCTCACTCTGTGGCCCAACCTGGAATGCAGTGGAACACTCATGGCCACTACAGTCTCGACCTGGTGGGCTCAGGCAATCCTTCCACCTCAGCCTTCCAAATAGTTGGAACCACAGGTATGCATCATCACACCAGGCTAATTTTTTTATTTATTGTAGAGGTGAGGTCTCACCAAGTTGCCCAGGCAGGTCTCAAACCCGTGGACTCGGCCAATTCTCTCACCTCCACCTCCCAAAGTGCTGGGATTACAGGCATGAGCCACAACACCCAGTGAGCTCAAGTATTGGACTCCAGTATTCAAGGGCAGTCTGCATCTCAACAACTGTAACTAATAGCTAAATTGTATACCTACATTCATCTCTATTATTGATTATCTATTTCTATTTATTGCATCTATTAATCCCATTAGTTAAAAGACTGTTCTCATTTATTCAGGATAACAGTGCTTTTCCTGACATTTTCAGGCAATCCTTACAGATATGAACTGCTTGATTTTCCCATGGATTCAAGGAAGAAAGCATTGACTTGGCCTGGTCAGGGCGTATATTATGATGTAAGTATCTTTTAAAATGTGCATTTAAAGGAAAGTAAAAAATATTTTTGCTCAATAGCTTTATAAAAATTCAAAAGATTGTTTTTACTTTCTATCAGAATGAAAAATTTGAGATTTTGATCAATTCACATTTTTCCATTTCTTACCTGATTTCCTGTACTTTTGGTTGTTATGGAATATTTCCACCATCACACAAAAAATGTTTCCCCCAGAAGGATGATGGAGAAGGGCTGAGTGTCACACACCTTGTGTTTCCCCAACGCTATTCTTATGATTCATAATATATCCAGTGACCCCTAGCATACACAGAGTAAATGGGAGATTTTCAGAAAGATTTGCAAGCTTTTGATGTGCCAACCGTTATTAGTACATTTGTGCCAGATCTAAAATAAAATTATAGTCACCTACTTTTTTGAGAAACTGCTACATACTAACCACTTAAAATCAACATGTCATTTAACTCTCATAATAACCTCATAGGTTAGAATCATCATTCCCATTTTATAGGTAAGAGAACTGAGGCTTAAAGAGATTGTGACTGATAGTTCCACAGCTCCCTTCCTTCCCCCACTCCTTCCATTTCTCCTCCTCTTGCCTTCCTCCTTCACCTCCCTCTTTCCCTTCAATCTCCTTCTCTCTCTCTCGCCTCCTTCCTTCCTCCTCCCTGCCCCCTTCCTCCCTGTCAAAAAAAAGAAAGTTTGTGACTATGTCATGATCATAGAACTCAAGTTTGTGAGATTCTAGTCTCTGCTCTTAACCATAATTCCACATGGATAAGAAAGAGAAAGTTTTAAATTATGAAAGAAATTATCTAGACATTTGAAAGCTAACATTTATTGACCTTTGGTCTGTGAGAAGCAGTGGCAGGTGTTCTCCACATATTCTCTCCTTGCATCCAGCAATCCATGAACTAGGCAAGTAATTGTTTTGGAAGGTTGGAAACATTTGAATTTTACTTGGAAAACCATCACAGCAGGTCAGCAGGTGGTCACGCAGTTGTCTATAAAGTAAGCAACTTCCTGTTCGCTTTTTAAAACTAAACTTCAGTAATCCCAGCACTTGGGGAGGTAAAGGCAAGAGGGTTGCCTTAGCCCAGGGGTTCAAGACCAGTCTGGGCAACATGGCAAGACCTCATCCCTACAATAAATCAAAAAATTAGCCGGGCATGGTGGTACTTGCCTGTGATTCCAGTTACTTGGAAGACTGAGACAGAAGGATCACCCAGCAGGTCGAGGCTGTGGTGGCGGTGAGCATGCCACTGCATTCCAGCCTGGGTAACAGAATGAGACTCCAACTCAAAAAAAAAAGTCAAATGTCAAGAATTCTTAAAGAATCATCTGCTTTACTGGATCTTTTTCATTCTTGTAAGCAAAATCTATATCTAAGCAGCCCAGAAATATGAGGAGTTAATTCAGTTCCTACGCCATCATGCCATATTCTTATAGCCAAAGGAGGCATCTGTAGCCTAGTTCCTTCCTGCTCGTTAAAGTCCTGCTCTTCCATGTCACAGTCCTGTGCAACATCCTGAATAGCTCCCTTTGCCAGAGTGTAAATCCCAGTGCTTTACCTGTGGTAGGAAGACCCTTCAGGAGCTGATCTTACTCCTTCCCCTATAGCCTGGCTCCACCCGCTGGTCCCTGAACAGGTTCATGCCATTTCCCTTCCTGGAACGCCCTCCTCCCTGGACCTCTCTGTCCAGCACGCGCTAATTCTTCAAGGCTCAACTCGCCCTGCTTGTTTCTGCTGTGTAGTAGAGAGAACCAAGGCAGGAGACCTGAGTTCTAAGTAGTCCTATATTGCCATTTGCCGTCTAAGTGATATTAGGTATATTGTTTCCCTTTTCTGAGGCTTAATTAATAAAATGCATCTGTATAATAATTGCAACAAAAATCTGTCTTATAAATTTCACAGGATATGAGGAACATATGAAAGAGCTGAAAAACAGAAAATACCTAACTGACAAGGCATTATTATTACACCAGCAGAAGTGATTTCATCCACTATCTTCCATACACATTATAACCAATAACTTAACATGGATTGTATAGCTCATCGACTAAATTATAAGTTCTTTGGTAACAGGATATTTTGTATGTATATCTCCCACAATGCTTTGTGCATAAACATTTTTGTCTGGTTTATCTAATTATTCTTCTTTCTCTAGTGATTAAGTCATTTTTTTAAGCTGGTCTAACTAGTCTTCATTTTTAACCATTCAAATAGTCCTCCAGCCCAACACTGATCAAGTTTTGCACCTCCCTGGACACAGAAATAGAAGCAAGGCAGATACTGAACACTGAACTTGATGAGAGAACCTTATGACTCGCTTTTTCCCTCTAATCTTCAGAATAAGTCTCTGTACTTATCCCTTGCTGTTTCTCCTTCCTTTCATCTATTAATTGGGATAGGTAGTCAAAGAGCTTTCAGCTCTATCTGCGATGTTCGATTTGTGTTAAAGGAAGTTTTTGTTTATTTGTTCTTGTTTTTGTTTTTTTTAGAGACAGGGTCTTCATAGATTCCCCAGTCAGGGCAGTGGATATTCACAGGTCTGATCATAGTGCACTACAGCCTCAAGTTCCTGGTCTCAGCCTTGAGTAGCTGGGACTACAGGTGCATGCTATTAATATTATTAATAGTATCTACCTTTCCCGTTGCTAGAGCAGTGGTTTCTCAACCTTGGCTGCACCTTAGAATTGCCTGGGGCACAGGCTGCACCCCTCCCCCACATCAATTCAATTGTTTCCTGGGGATTGGACCAATAGACCTCTAGTGCCTTGTTTTTAAAGACTGTAACTTACATATATGGGCTAATTGTCTTCTCTTTCCTCCTACTCTATCCTATGCCCAGGGGAGGAGTAGGGACTAACCTGATTAATAAGCATTTCCAAAATCTGTCACATGCCTGCAAAAGAGAAAACTCCTGGAACCATATTTTAGCATTTTCCTTCCAAACCAACAAGAAAATATGTAAAACATATAGGTAAACAGTGTGAATTTTAAAGTGGCTCAGCTCCTGGCTCTAGAACTTATCGGTTCTGTGACCTGGGTAATATTCTTAATCCTTCAATACCTCAATTTCCTCATAGATAAGGCAAGAATAATATTAAAATCTACCTGATAGTGTTGTCTTGAGAGTGAAATGCATAGAAAAGCAACCTGGTACCATATTAGTACACAGTAAGCTTGTAATAAATGTTAACTGCTATCAGTGTTATTGGGTTTTTCTTCCAATGGTTATAATACTTTGTTGACCTAGCAACATTAAAAAATCAATCACCCTGGAAAGGAAAATATTACACATAAGAGAATTTAACCTTTTAGAAATCAAGTGTGGGCCAGGCTTGGTGGCTCAGCCTGTAATCCCACACCTTGGGAGGCCGAGGTGAGTGAATTGCCTGAGCCCGCGGGTTCGAGACCTGCCTGGGCAACTTGGTGAGACCTCATCTCTACAATAAATCAAAAAATTAACCGGGCGTGGTAGCGCGCGCCTGTAGTTCCAGCTACTTGGAAGGCTGAGGTGGAAGGATCGCCGGAGCCCAGCAGGTCGAGGCTGCGGTGGCCGGGAGCGGCCACTGCACTCCAGTCTGGGCGACAGAGTGAGACTCCAACTCAAAAATAAAAAATAAAAAATAAATAAAAATCAAGTGTGGGAGCCAGACACAGTGCCTCACACCTGTAATCCCAGCACTTTGAGAGACTGAGGTAAGAGGACTGCCTGAGCCCACGGGTTCAGGACCAGCCTGGACAACATGGTGAGACCTTGTCTCTACAATAAATTTTTTTTTTTTTTAATTAGCTGTACATGGTGGTGCACACTGTGGTTCCAGCTACTTGGAAGGCTGAAGCAGAAGGATTGTCTGAGCCCAGCAGGTCAAGCCTGCTGTGATAGTGAGCGTGCCACTGCTCTCCAGTCTGGGTAAAACAGTGAGACTCCAACTAAAAAAAAAAAAAACAAACAAAAACATAAAAATTAAGTGTGGGGCTTAATTTTAAAAGCTGGTTTTGGTTCCCTACCCCCCCACCCCCGCATCGAGGTCTCACTCTGTCACCCAGGCTAGAGTGCAGTGGCACAGATCATGGCTCACCACAGCCTCAACCTCCTGAGCTCAAATGATCTTTCCGCCTCAACCTCCTGAGTAGCTGGGACTACAGATATGCCCCACCACACCTAGCTAATTTTTTTATTTTTTGTGGAGATGAGGTCTCACTATGCTGCCCATGCTGATTTCAAACTCCTGGGCTTAAGCAATCCTCCTGCCTCGGACCCCCAAAGTGTTGGAATTACACGCGTGAACTGCCACACCCAGCCAACACCATATTTTAAATGTCATTTTGCCCTCATTCTTCCATATTACATGTGTATGAAGTCTGTGCTTTCAGAGCTACAGAGATCAGGCACCCCTTTCCCACCTAGACTCCAGAGCTGCCCTACCTTTCTGTCTCTGGACCAGCCCAGTTTTCCCCACCAGTCATGACTGATCATTGCACTTGTCACTCTAATCAGGGCCTCTCCTGCTATCACTTTCTTGCCTCTGAGAACTCTTCTCACTAATCATATCCAGCCATCATCAAGCCAATGAACATTCCTTTTACTTTTACAATTGGCAAATATAAAGAGGGTTTAATGTTTGACTCTTCTGAGCAGTTTATGTCATTGCTTACCCAAATGACTGAAGACTTTTGTCCTTTCTGTTTCTGTAGAACTCGAGCATCTAGTCTTAGTTTTTGCAATATGAAAATAGTCTTGCCAGGTACGGTGGCTCACACCTGTAATCCCAGCACTTTTGGGGGCAGAGGTGAGAGAATTGGCTGAGTCCAATGGTTCAAGACCAACCTGGACATATTGGCAAGACCTTGTCTCTACAATAAATCAAAATAATTAGCTGGGCATGGAGGCGTGTGCCTGTGGTTCTAGCTATTTGGAAGTCTGAAGCCGAAGGATCACCTGAGCCCAATAGGTTGAGGCTGCGGTGGCCATGAACATGCCACCGCACTCCATT